TCGTTCTTGGAGTTCATACGATATTCTTTTTTTCATCTTTTTAATGGCGTATATAACTTAGGTCCATTTTGATATTGTGTAGAGGATATCAGATTTATGCAAACAAGCGGGGTGTTGGCTATTGGTTGACAATACTTACGAGTAAGTCGTTGCTTTCTGTGTCTGCAATGCTCAATGCTGACGTTTATTTGTTACTTTATCTCGAGATGTTGACGACTTTCTACATATGATAAAAACATCTACACGCTGCTATTAATATGTCCTGTTTCCAGGTATTTTATGTACGATGGTAGGAAACATGTTTGCCTCGAGGACAATCACATTGTCAATATATTTTCCTTCTCTAAAGCTTATGGGATGATGGGATGGCGCGTTGGATATGTAAGTGTTGCCCTTTATAACTCGAAAACTTATACCAGATTTGTTAGCCTTACTTGATTCATGGATATGCAGATAGCGTACCCTTCAAAAGTCGATGGCCTTACAGCTCAACTCCTCAAAGTCCAAGACAACATACCCATCTGTGCTTCCATAATTTCACAGCGATTGGCCCTTCACTCTTTGGAAGTGGGGCCCGAGTGGGTAACCGATCAGGTGAAAGAGCTGGTGAAGAACAGAGAGGTTCTGATAGAAGCGCTGTCGCCTTTGGGTGAGGAAGCTGTGAAAGGGGGAGAAGGGGCGATATACCTGTGGGCAAAGCTTCCAGACAAATACGTGGATGACTTTGAAGTCGTGCGCTGGCTAGCCAGAAAGCACGGAGTAGTCCTAATCCCGGGAAGCTCTAGCGGGTGTCCAGGCTACGTTAGGATCTCGTTTGGAGGGTTGAAGGAGGACGACTGTCGAGCTGCGTCGGAGAGGCTGAGAAAAGGGATGGAAGAACTTGTAAGTAGTGGAATGGGTTGTTGATTTTGTTGAGGCAATGGGCAGGGCAATATAACCATACATTCTTACTATGAATCAATAATTGGTCATTCTCTGATCTCACAACTTGGAATAGGAACAAATTTGTATACTTTGAAATGTTTGTTGTTGAAGATTACAAGTCACAATTAATTGTGAACTTGAAGAATGGCTTGCTTCTTTCATATTGTGTTGTTAATAACATCTCTTTCTTTTGCCTTCCATTTTTTCATTTCCCTTTCTATCTCACTCAAGAGTTACATTCACTTATCTAATATGGGTTGAGTTTGTGGTAAACTATGAAATATTGAACTAATAATCGATTTACTTTGAGAGTTTTGCCCTATCATTAATACTCCCTATTTTAAATTGATCAGAGTCTTTCGAGTTTATAAGTTAACCATTATGCCACTTAAATTTTTATCTAGACAAATCTTCATTTCAAATCAATAAAGTGCCCATGTGTACATATTGAGTTAGTCCGCTGATGGGGTGTGAACCCCGTGGGCTCGAGGCCCAAAAAGAAGAAGAAAGGCCCAAGACGAGAAATGGCCAAGTCTAGAAAAGGAAAAGCCCAAAAGAGATACGAGCCAAACCGAGGAGTCGGTTCAACTCGGAGGTCGGCGCAAATGTGGAATCGGCACAAGTAGAAGGTCGGCCTAAACTAGCCGTTAACCTATTTACTACCCTATTATTACCCCACTTATTACCACTAGTCAATTACCTAATTATTATTATTATTATCCATAACCTCCCAAAGTAAATATCATATTAAACACCCTACTAAATTACCCAACGGCTATAATCCCATCCTACTACTATAAAAGAAGGTTCAAGAGCACAAGGAGGGGGAGGATTCATTCATCTACACATGGGAGGACTCTCCCAAGCACTATTCTCCCACTTATTATTTTTTCTCCCATAGAAAAACACATCACTCTTCCCACACCACTCTCCCAAGAGAAGGCTATTCACATACACAAGAGAAGACTATTCCACCATGCACAAAAGAAGACTCCATCACGCTTCCCTACTAGAAGATGCATTATCCATTCACTACAAGAGAAGACCCTACCACTCTTTCAACAAAGAAGGTCAAGAAAAATGCTCCTCTCTATATACAAAGTATAACTCTTTCCCTATATAATATTTCTATATACAAAATAGCCATACAACATGTACAAAGACACCTACAAAATACATAGTGAATTTAGGCTTGGCGGTACCTAAAAAGGCCTGTGGTTTTCACCTTTCGGTTTCCACGTAAAAATCATTGAGTCATACTTCTTCTATTTTAGTAGCCTTATTATGAAAGGTGAATCCACCAACTACGGTTGTGTTGGACCTCCCTGGGCCCAAAACCCCTAAAACCAACATCCGCTATGAACAATCAAAATATATTTAAAGGGTTAATACCAGCCAAGGTCCTCCGAATTTGGTGATTTAGCCACATATAGTCCTAAACTTTCAATTTATCACATGTGGTCCTCCGACTTTCAAAATCTTACCTTCTCCGATCCTTCCGTTAGTTTATTCCGTTTGTGCCTTGTAAACCAGGGGTAGAATTGTACTTTCTCTTTGTTTATACACTTTTAGCAGAAAAAGGGGGTGGTTTATCGAAGCGAAGCCAAGCGGAGAGAGCGATCAGTGAAAGATACAAGTCCGTATTTGAATGAATAATTTATTACAATTCTAGCTAATATTACTGCTGTGATTGTGATTTTGTTTGTTCTGATCTAATTTTGTGCCCATTTAATTTATTTACAGACGAAAAAAGATGAAAATGGAATTTGAAGAGAGGCAAAAGCAACAGGGGAGGATTTTGGTTGCGGCAATCGAAGAAAGGGTGATGAAGAAAGAAAAAAGATGATCAAATTGAGAGATTGGGGAAACTGAATTTGGCCCTCCAAGAAAGGGTGAAGAGCCTCTACGTAGAGAACCAGCTATGGAGAGACCTAGCGCAAACCAACGAAGTCACCACCAATTCTCTCCGCTCAAACTTGGAACAAGTCTTGGCCCACGTCGGCGATGAGCACATCTCCGGTGACCGAGGTGCGGTGGAGGGAGACGCCGAGTTCTGCTGCGACAGCAATCACGTAGAGGAGGAAGGGGAGGAGGAGTTGCCGGAACTAGGGACTGCAGCGCCGGTGCCGGAAAACAGCGGCATGAGGAGGATGTGCCGGCGGTGGGGAAAGAGAGTCTAGCGTGTTTTTGTTTCCATGTAGGCATATGTGTCTCTGCTCGGCGTGTGGGTCTACCATGTTCCACAACTGGCCCGTTAGCCGTTGCAGCAGAATACGGCGGAGGAAAGAGGAGAATTGCATACAAGCGGTGGCAAGTGGCAAGGGCCGACAGAGGGTAATAAACAATAAAAATGAATAAATAAAGAAAAATTACAATTCTATCCTTGGTTTACACGGTGCAAACAGAATAAATTAACCGAAGGACCGCTGAAGGTATGATTTTGAAAGTCAGAGGACCACATGAGGTAAATTGAAAGTTTAGGACTATATATGACCAAACCACCAAAACTCGGAGGACTTTGAGTGGTATTTACTCTATATTTAAATGTTTTATATAATTAATTTGGCTAAGTTAGGGATTCAAATATTTTTTAATTCAATATTCAAAATTCTTTGGATTCAAATTTTAAATGTAAGGTATGATGATGTTTTCTCTACTATAAATAAAAGTCTCCCTTACCAGGGAAAAGTGAGTGGTAGAAAAGAAGAGATTCAAGTATTGAAGTTTTAACATTTTTAAGTATTCAAGTTTTAAGTTTAAAAAAAAAAAGTATTCAAGTTTAAAAATTTTCAAGTATTCAAGTTTTAAGTTCACAAAAGTTTGAGTATTCAAATCAAAACATTTCAAGTATCAAATTTTGACTATTCAAAATTCAAGTATTTCAAGAAGACAAAGAACTAAGAGCATTCTCAATAGTTGTAGTTTTTGCGGGTGTGATTAGCAAAGAGAAAATGGGAGGGAAGAGAAAAAGGAAAAAAAAAAAAAACAAGTCTGACCAAAAAAAAATTAAAACAAAACCTTTTACGCGGGCACACAAGGTGCGCTGAACGCACGAACAAACGGTTGTCATTTCTCCACGCAGGCCCCACATGCTCAATCTAAAAACCCCTCCTCCTCCAAAGGTCCAAAATTTTCTCTCTCCTTCCCATAAGCCTTGTTTTTTCAAAAACCACACCAAGATGCATTGATGGAGATGCTCTAAGTTTGTTGTGTTCAAGTCAAATTTGTTCGTAGCGAGGTATTTCAAGTATTCAAGCACTTAAAATTAAAGTATTTCAAATATTAAGTCCCAAGTATTTCAAGTTAAGTATTTAGATTTAAACATTGCAAGTATCAAATCTCTGAGTATTTCTAGTTTAAGTGTTAAAAATTCAAACATTTCAAATACTAAGTTTGTTACGCTCAAACCAAATTTGTTCGTAGTGAAGTATTTCAATCTTCAAATAAATTCTAAACAAGCAATCAAGTGCTTGTGAAGTATTAAAATTCAAATTAAACAAAGAATCAAAAGAATTATTTATAGATTATTATACCCGCATTATATAATCATACATTTTTACTTTGGCAAAAACTTGTGTAATACTGTCTCACGAGTCGGATCTTTGGTTAATGAGGTCAAAGATCTGACTTATTAATCAAATATCTTACCCGTCTCACGGATTAAAACCCGTGAAACGGTCTCACACAAGTGTTACCTTTTACTTTATATTAGATTTTTTAATATTAATAAAATACATTTGAATTTTTCTATGTTCAACATGACTACATCAATTTTTTGAATCAATCAAAGCAAGACATATCAATAAAAAAAAAAAAAAAAAAGTGAGAGTCCATCTAATATTAATCCTTAAAAAAAAAACATTGTGGCGTGATCCTTAATTTTGTCGAGTGGTAGTATGAATGACAGAATGAGTGTACCACAAAACAAGCCGTGTTGCGACTTACGAAGATGGGGTCACAGGTTTACGGTTTACGTTATAACAGCCTAACGGGTCCATTACTTTTTTTTTTTTTTGAAAGGAGGGTCCATTACTAATCTAATCCTTTTTGTATAAAACGGGTAGATCCGGAAACTCATAAGGGCAATCCGGTAATCTCACATCACTCATCATCTCTGGCCAGTGGCCACCTTTCTAATTCTCCGGCCCCGCCCCGACGGTTAAAACGTCGACGTACCTTTAACCTCCACATACATTCTTACTTAAAGAGGGAGAAGCTCTTCTGGTTTCATCACCGGAGGCCGAGGAATATTCCTTTCTTCTCTACTTCTGCGAGCTACTGAGCTTCGCAAGTTTGCTTTTCTTTCAATTTGAAGAAACCCTCGTAATTTGGTGAGATCTATCGAGTTGTAGCTTCAATGGGGGGCAATTCATTAGCTGGATTACAGGATCATTTGAAGTTGGCTAGAGAATACGCAATTGAAGGCCTTTATGATACTGCCATTATCTTCTTCGATGGTTCTGTTGCTCAGATCAACAAGTATGTTCTCATTTCTTCGCTAATTTGAACTTCACTGTTAATTGTGTGTTTTCAAATTGAGGGTTTTTTTTTTTTTTTTTTTGGTTCTGTATGCAACTGGAAACTTGATCTGCTTGAATGGTGTATTAAGCAGAATATAGAGGAATCCCAAATTTGAACTCACAGTTTATTACTGAAAGAGAATCATACTGGTTAGATGTGTTAAGTGCAGTAAGGTGCATATGGTTACCTCCTTAGACCTCTTGGCACTTCTGGGGATACAGGCTAATTAAGAAAAGAGCATACTGTTCTAATTGAGTACACAAGTGTAAATGCTTTTTCTGCCTTTATCTTTTATATGATATAGGCATTATATAAGCTAAGAGCTGTGAGTTGTGTGATGTGTAGTAGAGGCTTTTTGATTAATGTGATAGAAACAAGCTTTGATTTTATTACTGCCCAATGCTGTTTTCTTCCCATTTAGCAAACTTTGAGAGTAAAGCTATATAGGATTTGATGTTTGATTGGAGGTCTCGGTCTAAAATAAATGTCTTGTTATGCTTGACCTCTAGGCATGTAAGCACAGTTGATGACCCTTTGCTTCGTTCAAAGTGGATGAATGTAAAGAAAGCAATATCCGAAGAGACAGAAGTGGTGAAACAGCTTGATGCAGAGAAGAGGTCTTTCAAAGAGGTTCCTGTTGGTAGGCGCCCATATTCACCTCCGATTTCAACCAAGTCATCATCCTTTGTCTTCCAACCACTGGATGAATATCCAACTTCATCTGGTCCAATGGATGATCCTGATGTTTGGAGACCACCACCAAGTCGAGACACCACAACTAGGAGGTCTGCAAGAGCAGGTCAAGTTGGCATGAGAAAGTCCCCTCAAGATGGAGCTTGGGCGCGCAGTTCTACCAAAACAGGAACCTCTGGCCGGGGGGGAAAAACTGGTTCTTCTATTAAGGCTAACTCTGGGGTTCGAGCATCAACTACAGGAAAGAAAGGGAATGGAAAGTCTGCAAAAGCGGACTCAGTGGTAAGTTATTTTGAAATTTCACTTCAGTAAATTTTAACCATTACTTGGCCAACAGTCTGCATGGGCGTCTCTCTCTCTCTCTCTCTCTCTCTCTCTCTCTCTCTCTCTCTCTCTCTCTCTCTCTCTCTCTCTCTCTCTCTATTGTTATTATTATTATTATTTTTTAAAATGAAAGATCTTAGGTAACTGTCTGAAAGGCCCCAAGAAATAAACTAATTTCACAATTGTGACCTTCTTTGTTTCTGTTGATTTATTTGCATTATCAGTTATATTCTGGCCAACCAGTCATGGGTTCTCTTAAAAATGTGACAGTTAAAATGACATAGTATATGCTCTTCTATGAGGTGCTCTTAGACTTTTTTGCAATTACAGAGTGGTGACAGTGAAGATGGGAAGGCTAAAAAAGTGGAATATGAAGGTCCTGATGCAGACTTGGCAGCTATGCTTGAGAGAGATGTCTTGGAAACGAGCCCTGGTGTGAGATGGGATGATGTTGCAGGGTTAAGTGAGGCAAAAAGACTTTTGGAGGAGGCAGTGGTTCTCCCGTTATGGATGCCTGAATATTTCCAGGTATTAAAGGAAGATAAGAGTATAAAAACTTATAAATTTGCTTGCTTAATCTAAGTGGCATTAATGGATGAAAATATAGAAATGAAATGCTCAAAATAGAGACTTTAAATACTCGAATCCTTAATTGAAACCTATAGCAATTCTCACTTGAACTGAGGATGTGCATATATACATTTACCCAAACTTAATGCCTCATTAAAGTGCATTCACATGTGTATGGAGTCCTAAGGAAAACTAACGTGACATATTCCTTAACAGGGAATCAGGAGACCATGGAAAGGTGTTCTTATGTTTGGTCCTCCTGGTACTGGGAAGACTCTTTTGGCCAAAGCTGTTGCTACTGAGTGTGGGACAACATTTTTCAATGTTTCTTCTGCTACGTTGGCTTCAAAATGGCGTGGCGAAAGTGAACGTATGGTTCGGTGCTTGTTTGACCTAGCTCGTGCTTATGCACCCAGTACAATATTCATTGATGAAATTGATTCACTTTGCAATGCTAGAGGGTATGTATCTTTTTATTCTTGGGACATAATATAAGTTTATGTAATGATTTAGAAAATCAGGAGATTGATTAATTGATTCTAAAATATCATTGTTATTTGAATTGATTTATTTCCTTTATAGTTATCGAATAATTGTGGTAAGGAGCCTTAATGATTATCCTTTCCTTTTTAGGTTTTATTTAGTCTTTGTAACCTTCCTATATAAAGGGGATTCTCATTCTAATAAAAGGGACAAGTAAGAAGTTAAGATAAAATTAGAGGTGGGAAAGCTCTCAAAACATTCCCAGTATCCACTATATCTTGTTCCCAAATTAAAGTCAGGTTTTGTCTTTCCGCCCTTGTTCCTTTAATTTCATCTCTCAATGTAGGCAACACGCAAACAACCTCCGATAACCCTAATTGCCCTGCGGCGTGTGCATTTGCCTGAGTACATAACATTTTGGTTCCGTTCCGATGTCCAAAAATGTTATGTACTAGGGCGAATGCACACGTCACAGGGTGATTAGGGTTATTGGAGGTTGTTTGCGGGTTGCCTACATTGAAAGATTAATTAAAGGAATGACAAAACCTGACTTTAATTTTGGGAACAAGGTACTGGGACTCTGGGAGTGTTTTGAGAGTATGCCTACCTCTTATTTTATCTTACCTTCTTGGTTGTCCCTTTTATTAGAATGAGAATCCCCTTTATATAGGAGGGTTACAAAGACTAAATAAAACCTAAAAAGGGAAGGAGAATCATCAAGGCTCCTTACCACAATTATTTGATATCTATAAAGGAAATAAATCAATTCAAATAGCAAAGATATTTTAGAACCAATTAATCAAACTCCTGATTTTCTGAGTCGTAACAGCTTACTAGTAGACCATCCAATTTTCTGGTAGCCTCATGATAACATTAGTATATTGTCAGCTTGTTTGTTGGCTGCAGACTGCTTGGATATCATTTATTGCTGTTATCCTATCCTATATATATTATTATGAGATATGAGATAAGGTCAACCACCCCGGCCTTTATGTGTTGAATTGACGTGCACTTGATGCTATGACTTGAATATGTGCGTGGTCATATAGAATTGGAATCCTCATTTACTTTTGCTTGGAAATCTTTTGTTTATGCAATATTTTGAGATTGAAAATAGAATTAAGTGTTATTACTTTTTCAGGGGTTCAGGAGAGCATGAATCATCCAGAAGGGTGAAGTCTGAACTACTTGTTCAAGTAGATGGTGTAAACAATTCTTCCACTAATGAGGACGGAACTCGAAAAATAGTGATGGTTTTGGCAGCTACAAATTTCCCTTGGGATATAGATGAAGCATTGAGGTCAAGCTCTAGCTACTTTATTATAAATTTTGTTATAGGTTTTAAGAGATGATGTGTGGTACTGGTACAGTCTCCTTATTAACCTGATTGTGTTGATGAGAAATCCAGGAGGCGACTAGAAAAGCGTATATACATCCCCCTCCCAAATTTTGAAAGCCGCAAGGAGCTGATACGGATCAATTTGAAAACTGTGGAGGTAGAATAAAAGTGGTTGGTTATTTGATGAGATGATAATGTAGTTTGGTTGCGTGTTGTAACAAAAGTGACAATGTATGTATCAGGTAGCGGCGGATGTGGATATTGATGAAGTGGCTCGAAGAACAGAGGGATACAGTGGGGATGACTTGACAAACGTGTGCAGAGATGCGTCTCTGAATGGGATGAGGCGGAAGATAGCCGGGAAGACTCGAGACGAGATAAAGAGCATGGCGAAGGACGAGATTTCGAAGGATCCGGTGGAAATGTGTGACTTTGTGGAAGCACTGAAGAAAGTCCAACCAAGTGTTTCTGCAGCAGACATTGAGAAGCATGAAAAGTGGTCTTCAGAATTTGGTTCTTCTTAAGGTTGATGAAGTGTGTTGAATCATATTTTGTTTTTTCTTGCTTGGTGTTTAGTAGATGGGAAGACTCTCTTTGCTTCTCATAAACATACTCTCATTATTGAACCACCGGAAGAAAGTCCTTAAGTCCAGTGGCAGGGCGAGTATCTCAAAGCCTGAATGGGAAATCAACCTCATTTTTCTGTGGAAATATCGAGACAAAAAGAATATTTTAATATTCCACTTCCCCAATGCTTAATATATATATATATATATATATATATATATATGCGTGTATTGTATTATTTATTTTGTTGTTCCATAGATGAGAGTGAGAGCAAATTCCATGGAATTCCTTCTCCCAATTCTCTTCATCCTTTCCCTCTCCATCTTCCCAACCACAGCTCAGTTCATTCCATTTCTAGGTACGAGTATATATATATTCAAAAATTTTATTTCGTATCCATTTACTTTCATGCATCTTAATTATATTCATTCATCATCGAAATAAATGTCTATATTTCTATTTTTAGAAAAATTATTATAAGTTATTGATCATCCCTATTGACTTTTAATTTGACGATATATAACTATGTATATTTTTTAAGTTGTATGAAATATCGGATGAATGAAAAATGAAATGGTACCTAATACAATTCAAAAGTGTACATAATTATACTTACTGCAATAGATACTAGAGTAGTAGTTGGTATTGATAGAAATTGTACTCTCTATATTTTTGTGTCACTCTGGTTACCATATACCTAGGTCAGCTTTATAAGCTAGAGCTGCTTGTACCATATAGTCTTTTTACATAAAATGAATATTTATAAATTAGAAAACAAGATATTAATATATATATATATATATATATATTTTTTTTTTTTGATTGATGAATTGAGTTGTTGTATACATGTAAGGTGATCCATGTGCAAATGATTTGTGCGGAAAAGGGAGGTGCGAGTTGAATTCAAGTGCATTGCTGGGATTTGATTGTGGTTGTGATTCTGGTTGGACGAAGATGGAGTTTTTTGGTCTTATCTCCACTCCTTGCGTTTTCCCCAATTGTTAGTTTCTCTCTCATCTCTCTCTGTCTCTATATATGTGTATTTACTTACAATTTTTTAAGTACAGATTGATTCTTAAACTTCCTATATTTAGTATAAAATACATCTCCACATATACTAAGTTGGTCAAATAGTTAGCTTGGTATTTATAAGGTTTCAAGTTCGATATCTTGTGAGAGTTGTCTATTGGCCTTCTTAATTTTAGCCAGTTAATTATGAACAACTTACCATGCAAACGATATAATAGGATACAAGATATATACACTAGAGTCCTATACAACATAGATATGTAAACATAATATAACTCCAGTCCTAATACGCCCCCCGCAAACTCATAGTGGTAAGACCACAACATTGAGTTTGTCACGCAAGAAGGAGAAACGAGATGAAGTAAGGGCGGCCTTCGTGAAAATGTCCGCTAGCTGGTCCTTAGTAGAAATAAATTGAATCACCAAGTCCCCTGAAGCCACCTTGTCTCGCACAAAGTGGTAGTCTATCTCGACGTGCTTGGTCCTAGCATGGAAGACCGGGTTGGCACAAAGATACGTGGCTCCCAAATTGTCACACCACAGACGAGGAGGTGCAGGCAACTGTATCCTGAGCTCATTTAACAAAGAAACCAACCAAGTGACCTCAGCCGAAGCATCCACAAGCCCCTTGTACTCAGCCTCTGTAGTTGACCGTGCCACAGTCTTCTGCTTCCTACAAGCCCAGGAGACCAAATTGTTACCCAAGTAAACCGTAAAGTCGCTCGTAGATTTCCTGTCAATGGGACAGTCGACCTAATTCGAGTCTGAAAAGGCATGCACCACCAAAGAATAAGATTTGGAGATACGAAGTCCATAGTGAAAGGTACCCTTCACATAGCGAAGCACACGCTTAAGGTCAGTCCAATGAGCAGATGTCGGGGCATGCATGAACTGACACAGCTTGTTAACCGCATAAGACAAATCCGGTCGAGTAATAGTAAGATATTGAAGGGCACCCGCCAACTTGCGATAAGTAGTAGGATTTGACAGTAACTCAGACTCATTAGACGCCGCAGACCTTGAAGCAGAAACATGAGTGAGGATGGGCTTACAGTCTTCCACCCCCGACGCAGAATATCCGTCATATAACGACTCTGTGACAGCATCAACGCACCATCAACATCTACAGTCTCAATCCCTAAGAAAAACCGAGGCGTACCCAAGTCACGAATTTTAAAAGTCTCAGCAAGGCGATCAAACAACACAAACACCAGCTGAGAGTCACTCCTCATAATAAGAATGTCGTCAACATAAATCAACAAATAAACACGACAGTCCGACTCAGCATATATAAACAGTGAAACATCAGTTTTAGACGACTGAAAACTAATCTTGATATAAAAATCATGTAACCAAGCACGGGGGGCCTATTTCAGACTATACAAAGACCTCTGTAAAAGACAAACGTGATCAGGGTACTGCTTACCCACATACCCGAGAGGCTGCCGCATGTGTCTCAGCCAACTGCCCATTAAGGAAGGCGTTGTGCACATCTAGCTGATGCACAGTCCAACCACGTGACACAGACAAAGAAAGTAACAAACGCACCGTAGTACGCTTCACCACAGGATTGAATGTATCGAAGAAGTCCTCACCTACAACCTGATTGAAGCCTTTCGCCAACGGGCTTTATGACGCTCAACCGACCCATCAGCTTTTCTTTTAACACGAAACCCACTTGCACCCGACAACATTCTGCCCGGGACGGTAGGGGATCAAATTCCAGGTCTCATTCTGCAAGAGAGCGTTAAATTCAAGATCCATAGCTGCCCTCCACTCGGGAGAAACCACTGTCTGGGAATAGCACGTAAGCTCCGGGCTAACAATAGTAGCCAACGCCCGACCTGCACGGGCAGCCGGAGTAGTAGAACCTCGAGCCTGCTTCCTGCGAGGAACAGGAACGGGAGCCACATAACCACCAAAAACAGATTACACAGGAGTCACCTCACCCAACACGGGCTTAGCATGAGCAGACACACCAATGTCCACGGGAGCCAGGGCCCATGGCGCAGGCACAGGCACAGGAACTACATCAACAGACATATTAGCAGAAACAACATAAGGGAAGGAATCCTCATCAAATCTAACATGCCTGCAGATGAAAACACGATTAGACTGAAGATCTAGACACCGATATCCCCGAAACGACTCAAGATAGCCCTGGAAGACACACCGAGATGACCGAAAATCTATTTTGTGACGATTATAAGGACGAAGATACGGGAAACATAAGCACCCGAAAACATGGAGAAACGTGTAATCTGAGGGCCGACCAAACAGAACAGAGTAAGGACTACTATTTGCTAACACTGAAGTAGGCAACCGATTGATAAGAAAAGTAGCAGCCTCAAAAGAAAAATACCACAAACGAGAAGGAACCGATGCTTGAACAAGGAGAGAGAGACCAGTCTCGACAACATGCCAATGCCGGTGCTCAATTCGCTCATTTTGCTCAGGCGTATACGCACAAGATTGACAGTGTATTGTACCAAGACTAGAGAAAACCTTGCCAAGCTTTTTGTATTCCCCCCAAGATCAGACTGAATAGATACAATAGAACGTGAAAATTGATGCTCAACACGAGCATGAAACTTGGCAAAAATATCATATATATTGGTTTTCAATCGCATGGGATAGATCCACATAAAACGCGAAAAATCATCAACGAACAAAACAAAATACCGAAAATTATAAGTAGATAAAACGGAACCAGGGCTCCAAACATCAGTATACACAAGTTCAAGCACATGAGAACTAGTATTATTGATACGATAAAGCGAAAAATGGGAGGATTTCCCCATTTGAGAAGCTGAGCACAAAGAATCTAAGCTAGCTAAACTAGAATCACTAACAGGACAACTACGAAGAATAGAACTAAGAACCCGTGAATGTGAATTGCTGAGACGACAATGCCACATAGGAGAGGACACTCTAGCAAACAGGAACGCTACAGGACGCGAGACTAGAAGAGTGTATAAACCACCAGAACTCCCACCTTTAAGTAAGACGACACTGGTTTCGCGGTCCTTCACAAAGAAACAAGACGGGTGAAACTCAAAATAAACATTATTGTTAGCAACAAACCGCTGAACAGACAATAAAGAATGCAATAAACCAGGAACAAAGAAAACACGAGACAAAGAAAGAGAATGGGAGGGAGTAGAAAAAGAGGAACTACCAACACCAGAGATAGCCAAACCAGAGCCATCTCCTACACGAAGAGTACCACCACCAGTGTAGGCCTCCACCCCAGTCAAGGCATTAACATCCGGCGTAACATGTTCTGTGGCCCCAATTTCTAGAAGCCAAGTGAGAGTAAATGGTGCATCATCCAGACCCGCGGACTGAACCAAATTCGCTTGTGGAGCAGGACTAGCATTATAGCGCTGAAAACAAGAAATGGCAGTGTGGCACACAACATTGCAAATATGACATTTTGGAGAATTACTCCTGCCACACCCACGACCGGAATTAGTTCCACGTTTGCCTCTTCTATTGTTGTTATTCTGCCAGCGACCACCACCTCTGCTGTTCGCACGACCAGAATCACCGCCCTGCCTAGATGGCGAGACCGCCATAGTCGTCGGAGTGGGAAGCAAACCACGCGCAACATCATCCGCGCAAATCAACTGATGGGCGGTTAAATAATCTGAGAGCTACCCTATCGTCACCGCCGTGCCCTTCACCGTGAGAGAAGAAGCAAGAGCACGATACTCCGGCCGGAGACCTCGGAACACATAGAGGTTCTGCTTATCCAACGACAATGGACGTCCGACGAGAGCCAACCCCTCAAGGATGACCTAAGCGCGTCCGAGATACTCCGCAGTGGTTGAGTCGCCTTGTCGCAAGCCTTGAAGCTGACTGAGAAGACTCAGCGACCGAGCTCGCATGGAGGAACCAAGGGCTACTTCAATGGCGGACTAGACAACCCGAGAAGACTTTCTTCCAACAGTCAAGTACATGCATTCATCCAACAGTGAGGATGTTAGCATAGATAGGATCGACTGATCCTGTTGTATCCACAACGCGTACGCGGGGTTCAGAATAGCAGTGGAGCCATCGGCGGAGGGAAGAAATTGCGACGGACAAGGGAGCGTACTGTCGACGTAGCCGATGAGGTTCTGACCGCGAAGAAAGGGCACCAATT